TTCTTATGTAGATGAACCAATTGCGGCACAACAAGTCACGTGAAACAACCGATAAGATGTGGTCACTGGCAAATGGTCCTAACAGCTTAGTGAACACATATTCAGGATGCATTTGTAATGGCGTCCGATTCCATGCTCGCGACTGTGACAGCCGTCGTAAAACTCAAAATAGTGGATTGGTAATGGAAGGGGACCATAAGGCCAACTCATAAAGTTCTACGGCTACATTTGCAAAGTTTGGGAAATGACATATTTGTTTAGGCATCGTGATGTTTTATTCCAATGTGAATGGTATAACACTGGTAGTAACAGAACTTTGTGTGTCGAACCACATTTCACTACTATTGATATATGTAGTCGATGGTATAAAGATGACCTGTTTGTGTTACCAAGTCAAGTGCAACAAGTTTTCTACGTGCATGATACGAAGTTAGGTGCCAATTGGAGAGTAGTAGAAAAGTTTGAACAATGACGAATTTGGGCAACCTGATGATGTGTTCCAACAAGATGAAAGCACTAATGTTATACCAACTGAGCCTATAGATGATGATGTGGTGTTGCGTCGAGATGATATTGACATTGAAATTATTCCAATGGAAGTTTTGCAGTCTGATTACCGTGTACAACCCTTGGTTGGTATAGACGATGACTTCATATGTGATGATAAAGATGAACCGACAATGGAGGGTGACAATGAAGAAGAAGATGAGCTTGACAGTGATTTTGATTCAGATATGGACATAGAGTGTTGATGTATGGGTTCTAAATTTCGATGTATGTTCTTGGTAGTTGTTGTTTTGTCTTTTTGTCGTTTTGTTGTTGTAATGGGGAAAGGGATGGAGGAGATTCCCCTTGTTTATGTGTTATGTAATTAGATAAGAGTTTAGTCCTTTTGTTTATATTGTTCTTCATGTCATCATATTGGCCTTCACGTTGTGTTGGATGTTGTCTATAACCATTTGCATGGAAGTGGTCCATTTGATGAGAACTATGTTCTTGACATGGTCATGAGTTGATTCCTATGTTGTATTTTTGCTTTCTTTTCAGCCATTATTTTTAGCTTTCTTGTCAGCCATTCCTATGTTGTATTAAGTCTCAACAAATGGGGTCGGCTTGTATGTATAATTATTATCTTGCCTAATATCTTACTTTTCTTCCTTTATTTACATTTTTAAAAATAGGTCTCTTCATACTCCTGTCATGACAAAAAGTTCTCCACAGTTAGGTTCATCTCGAAGTTAATGATGGGAGGACTTTAATGGTGATTACTTTATTTGAATGTTGTTGATGCCATTTCTAATGTAACTAATTATAATTATGAAACATTATTTGGCAGCAAAATACTAGTTAAATTGCATTTAGTTTTACCATAATTATAGCCAATAGGTATTCTTTTTTATTTCCATTTGTAATATGAAATTAGCACAAAGCTGAGTCCCAGTGATGCATAGACACAGCTTGCAGTGCTCCTGCAACTGTTTTATGGGTGTAAAGAATTCTATGTTTAGATATAGCAATTTGTAAGCTTTTTCGCAATGTTGAACCTGTTCAAATGATGAACCTCCTCATTTCACATTTATGCTTAACAGTGGTTTGTGTATATCACTTTTATTTGACAACCATTGTCAATTAGTTTCCTATTGTTGTCTTGTTGTAATTTTGTAAATACTTGAGCGCCTGTAAACAATCCATATTGGTTATAATATCGATGATGTTTGCTTCTACTTTCTAGGTACGAGCATGGTTCCTGGGACGAAAACAGAACGGCGTAAGAAAACAGCAATTGACCCCATAGCATGGCCCTCGGGAACATTTTCACCTGTCATTGTCACACCACAGACTTTATCCGATGACATACAACCGCCGGATGACACACAAACATTTGTGGAAGAGGCACAGGCACACGACGTAGGTAAGACCATTGTAGTTTTGTAGGTGTGTTTCGGCCCCTAAAGATCACTTTACTTGACTGAAGCAATGGATTTTATGTCATCTAGAAGAACAAGTTCTTGCATGTCTTACAAAATTATAATCCCTTACAAATTTTGCTTGGATGATTGTTAAATTTAGTATTAATTATTGTTCATTATATGTTTGGCGAACTAATATCATGTGAAGGCCTTACACTTGTTGCCCCTTCTTGACCAGGGAAAAGTAACTCAAATCGTGTACGTAGTCTTACAGTCGGAAAAGGAGTGCAAAAAAGGCTTGCGAGAAAAAAAGGGAAGAAGCTACATATATATGTCAATCGCATGCTGCATGCACTCAGTGGAGGGAATGCCATGCCTGCCACAAATGAGTTGGGCTTGCAGATAAGGCGGTTGTGCCCCCTTAAGGGAGTGAAGTCATGGAAGAAATTTGATTAGAGTATCAAAGATGTTGTAGTACAGGCTGTGCTAGTAAGTTTGGACCTTAAACGAAATGTCTCCATTATGTAAAGTTCCAATTGCGGCTGGCGATTTCTGAAATACGTCACACACTTATGCTTGCAGGACACGTTTGAAATTGGTGAGGATTTTCATACTGATCAACAAGCTCAAGAGATCGTTGATACGAAGGCATATCTCTTGTATAAGGACTGGAGGTACACCCTGAAGCAACACTACGAAAAAGTTGTAGAAGAGGGTGTTGATGACCTATATAGTCATCTGCCTAAAGGAGTTTGCTTGGATGATTGGAAACACATGATTGATGTGGCTTGGAAGGATGAATCTCATTTGGTAACAAACAAATATAAACGACTCTATTGTTTTATTTGTGTATTATGCATTGATATGTACTAATTCTTGAATAATTCTTGTTTTAGAAAAGCTCTAAAGCTGGTAAGGCAAATCGGAGTTTGCTACCATACAATCACACCAGTGGATCTCGCTCCTTTCCAATAGCAATGTCGCTCATGGTGAGTTACATACATTTGGAGCAGATTTGTCATCACTTATATATGTAAGATGAAAGTCATGGTTACTATTGTGATAAATTAATTTTGTTATTTGAAACTAATAGGCAGATGAAAATGGGGAGTTGGATTTTCTGAAATTTTATTTGAAATCACACAAATCGAAGAAACAAATGAAAGGATTGATCCCAAATGTGGTGAGCTACATGTAAGGAGGAAACTTTTTTCGCCTACGGTCGTAATATTAATGCCTATCTTAGCACAAAATTGCATGTGATTCTTTGTGTCGTTGTTGAATAGTCTACTTTTTTTGGTAATGACAGGATGCGATGGTGAATCTACAAGCGACAGCCACGGATGTGGGGATCCCATTGACACATGAGGAACTCTCACGGCAAGTGCTTGGACAGAGAAAGAATTACTTGCGTGGATTTGGGATAGGCCCATGACCCTATTCGCCATCTGATAGTGCGACACGATCTCATGACAAACAAATGGAGGCAATGCGATCTGAGATTGACTTTCTTCAAGAAAATTTGATGAAGGAGAAAGAAGAGCACCAGAGAGATCGTGAAGAGATGACGAGAGAGAAAGAGAGAGAGGAGTTGATGAAAAAAGTAGAAGAAGGAAAAAAAGCAAGGGAGGCGCAACAAGAACAACTGAATCATTTGAACTCTGTGGTTTTACGACTATCAACACTGTTGGAGGGTTCAGACGGGCATCGTCATATTTGGTAAGAAGAATTTCATTCGTCTCATACTAACACTTATACACACTTAGATTTACTTATTCACTAAACAATACTACGCATTGGGTATACCATAACAACAGACATCAGGTTTGTTAGATATAAAACATTGGTATTTATTTTCAATACATTTAATACAGCCTCCCAAAAATGTTTTGTGTATTGGGTCCGTAATTTTGGTGCTGGGTAGTTAAAACAAGGGCAAATTACATATACCCCCTTGAGGTTTGGATAAATTACAAATACCCCCCTGAGGTTTTGGAAATTACATCCCGTCCCTTGACAATTAACTCCGTTAACCCATACAATAAATTGACTAAAATGCCCTCATGTCAAGTCAATACTTGCATTTTATACTAAAAACAATTAAACTTCTTTTTTTTTTAACCAGGTTCAACTTCCACTTTCTTCATTTCTTTATCTGGGAGAGAGACGGAAAAGGCATTGCAAAGAGGAAAGTGAGATCTTTATCTGAGAGAGAGACGGAAAAGGCATTGCAAAGGGGAAAGTGAGAGTATTGTTGTTTATTGTTGGATGCATAGATCTAAAAGAAGAAAAGACCACAAAAAGAAGTTTAGATCGTTGATTGAAGAAAAATCTGAAATTTGTAAGTGATCCATTTTTACTCTCTCATACTAAGCATTGAAATTTGAGGGTTTAGGATTCTTTGTTCATGATTTTTTTTTTTTATAAAATTTGTTTTAGGATTATTTGTTTACGAAATTTTGTGTCTTTAATCGATTTTTTTTGGGTTTGTATTTTACCCTGTTCAAAAAAAAATTAGGGTTTAAAGATTTGTTTTCAATCTATTTTAGGGTTTTTTTTTTGGGTTTCTTCTTACCTTTTTTTTAATTAAAATTTTGGGGTTATAGGGTTTGTTTTCAATTAGTATTTTAGGGAATTTTTTTAAATTTTTTTTTTTATATTTGTTTTCTACTCTTACTTTTACTAAAATTTTGGGTCTGTTTCAATTAGTATTTTTGGGAATTTATTTGGTTTGTTTTCTACTCTTTCTTTTACTAAAATTTCGGTTTAGGTGGTTTTTTTGGTTTATTTTCTACTCTTTTATTTACTAAAATTTTGATGTTGTAATGTAAGCTTGTTATGTAGATCCCTTCTGATATTCATGAATTTTGTGATGATTTTTTTGTATTTAGGACAATGGTTGATCCCATGCTTCATGACATACTAGTACACTTTAATGGTTCTGTAAGTCACATTTTGAATGTTAATCCTTACAAGTATAACTACATGCAATTGTTGGCTGATGCTTGTGAAGCTGCACTCACTAATGTACTTGGGAATTTTGGTGTGGGATTAAATTTGTACTTTACAAACACACACACTAAGAGTAAGATGGAGGTTAAATCTGATCAGGATGTCATTGAAATGTTTAGTTCAAATTATGGTACTAAGGTATTTTTCTGGAACTTGATCGACTTTTACCTTCATTTGTCGTAACTGATACTCCTACTAGTGAAGAGGGACACGTGAGTAGTAGTGGCACACGTACAAGAGGTGGTGTGGTTAGTAACATTGGAAATAGATTGGTAGTATCTAATGATTTATTTAGCAATGTGGATGACTACAATGATGTTGATTGGACTGAGTTAGGGGATTTTGAATTTAGTGAAGCAGATGCTGATGAAGAAAATGCTTATATCATTAGTAATGAGGATAATGAGGACACTTCAGATAATGATGAGGGTAGCAATGGGTCAGATAAACCAATTGAGGCCAATGATGAGGGGCTATCAGACTATGAATCTGATGATATAGGAGGGAAATATTCGACTGATGAAGAAGATGTGCAAGGTGTTAATGTTGACAGATATATGAGGGGAAAAATGTTTGAAATAAAGGAAGGGGAGAAAATAACATTGGAGAAGGGAATGATATTTGATGATGTGTATCACTTCAGGACTGTGCTCCAAGAATTTGCAATTGAAAGAGGTGTTAAATTGATTAAAATAAAAAATGACAAGAAAAGAGTGACTTGCATATGTGCTTCCTCGATGTGTGAATGGAGAATTCATGCTTCTTCATTACCTAATGGGGTGACATATAAGATTAAGACATTGGGCCCCGACCATACATGCGTTAGAGTAGAAAGGAATACTGAAGCAACATCATCTTGGATTGCTAAGAAGTTTGAAAAAACTCTTAGATGGAATCCTGGGATCACTTTAGAGGCAATGCATGATGAAATGGTAGAAAATTATGGATTGGAGACTACAAGGATGCAACTGTACAGAGGAAAGAGGAAAGCCATGGAGGCAATTGAGGGTAATCATGCAGAGGCCTACACCAAACTTCCAATGTATGCTGCAGAAGTGTTGAGGACTAATCCTGGTAGTTTGGTCAAAATTGAAAGGGAAAGAAAGCCACCATCTAAGCCAAACTTACCTCCTCCCTTACCAACATTCAAAAGAATTTTTCTTTCATTTGCAGCCATACAACATGGCTTTAAAGAAGGTTGCAGACCTTTCATAGCTGTGGATGGGTGTCATTTGAAGGGACCATTTGGGGGCATATTGTTAGCTGCAGTTGGTCTTGATGGAAATAATGGTCTTTATCCTATTGCAATTGGTGTGGTGGAGAGTGAATGTAAGGATAGTTGGGCCTTTTTCCTTTACCACTTGAACACCATTTTTGGTAATGGCCCCCAAAACATGCCATTGACAATCATGTCTGATGGTTTATTTTTTATTTTTTTAAGTAGGTTCTACAAGAATTTCATTTAAATACAAAGTCTACACTATTTATGTTGCCATTGTGCTTGTTCTTTTCACACTTTAGTGAAGTAAATATCGTGCACAAGTTTTCCATTCTTCTTTAATTATTGAAATTGAAATCCACTTTGACTATATTATATTATTAATTTAATCTTACTTTCTATAAATTATGAACATCGATACAATACACATGTGCACATTAAGGATAAGTTAATTTGATAATTTTAAAAAAGTAGGGTACTAGTGAAATCTCACTTTTTTCTTCTTATTTAAGTAAAATATTGAAAAATTATTAATTCTATCAATTATGCTCTAATGCTATGCAAAAATTATTACAATCTCAATTTCATAATAATTCGGATATGTGACCTAGAGTATCGAAAACGTATCCAATATTTCTCAAATTAAAGAAAATTAATTTCAAGTATCAGATACGTTTAACAAATATCTGATACGTATTTGTATATATCTAAGAATTATCCGTATCTGATATGGGTACGACTCTTTTTTAGAAGTATCTGTGCTTCCTAGTAAATGACGTCGTGCTGGGAAAGGTCCAACAACTTGCTCTTGACTATAATTCTAGGTATTCAGATGATGATTAAATGATTTATTTATACTGGTAATTAAACAGTAGTTCCATTGGTGTGGAGCTATATGTCTTCTCCATGTGAGTTTAATGGTATCATTTCGGCATAATATGTGGTGGCAAGGGGCTCTGCATAAAGTTTAGTCATATGAAAGTAATCTGTTTTTCCCATTTCCTTCACTTATTTGGTTGGTTGCTTAGTTTGTTAAGGAGTTGTTTGTTTTTCTGTTTACAAACAGACAAAAACAGAAAATTTTCTACAAAAATATTTTCAAAATAAATGAAAATAAAAGTAGATAAACATGTTTGGTGAGTTGAGGAAGGTGGTGGCTGATGGTGGGGGGTGTTTGCTGGTGTTGGTGGTCACCAGTAAGTGGGCTGAGGTCAAGGAGGTGACCAGCTTGTTGATTGCCGAAGTGTCTCCAGCAAGTGTCCGGAGCTTCTTGGAACATCATGTTGAATTTAGTTTAGTTTGGTATACGTATCAATTGGTTTATTTCAATTCGTGGGGATATAATTATTTTTGTTTGGTCTTATTTTTTCAACTTCTTTGTATTTTCAAGCCGTTAAATTGCAATAGAGTTTTCAAGTTCTTGTTTGTTCTTTACCTCGCCGTGAGCTCTTCCTAATTATCAAACCCTTATTTAATTCATGAATTTAGAAATAAATTTAAAAAGAAAAAAAAAAAAGGTGAATTGTAAACGTAATATAATTACATTTTACTTACATTTTATATACATTTTTTCTTTCCCTTTCTCTTTTCAAAATTATTTCTAAATTTATAATCTAAACACAATCTTAAGAGATTTAAAGTCCTTTTTATTGAGATCAGAAAAGAACTATAAGATTTTTGACCCCTTAGACCTTGCACAATTCTCATGTCCAAAAGTCAAAAGATATTTATCTTATTAACTATTTTAACATATATTATTTTTGTTATACGTTTTAACCTCCCCAAAAAAAACTCCCAAACCCAATTTGCCAAACAGGGCCATATGTAGCCCAATCTCCCTCTTTATCTGCAAATTCCAGTCTCCCAAAATTCCTTTTATTTATTGGTAAATTACAAATACATTCTTGAGGTTTAATTAAAATACAAATCGTTTCTCGTGATTTTGAAAATTACATTCCACCTTCTGAGGTTTTTAATTTCATAACAAATTGTCCCTTTTATAAATAATTCATCAAATTAATTAATATTTTTTAATGATGTTAGAAATATGTTTGACTAATAATTTGGATAATTTTATTATTGTATAAGAGACCAATTATGAATTTTATTTTGTTAGTTAATTCTGTTAAATAAAAAATATTAACCATGAAGTATTTGTAATTTTTTAAACTATAGGAAATAATTTGTACTTTAAGCAAATCTCAAGAGATGTATTTATAATTTACCCTTATTTATTAGATAGAACGCGTAATATAATATAATATATAGGTGTTTTAGGAAGTTGGTAAAAAATTAATTTTTTGATTTTTTGACTTTTTTAATGATTTTTTTCATAAAAGGTTGAATTGTTTTGAGTAAAAAAATTAATTTTTTTGATTAAAAAAATTAAAAAGCCAAAAAATTGACTTTTTATTGGTGTTCCCAAAGGAGCCCATAATATTCAGCAATGCAAAAATCCGGTGGGGATTGGAAGAGACAACTGGATCAAATCATAAGAACATATGATAGAAACGAGAGGCAGATGGAAAAGTAAAGGCCATGTGTTTGTGAAATAGTTTTTAAAAATAATTTTTTTTGAAAGAGTTTATAAGGTAGGGGCTTTTTCTATATTAAGTTTATTTTGTATCTTAATTTTTAAATTAAGTTTAGTTTGGACAAAATTTTTAGATTAGGCTAAAGTGCTATTACAAATCGCGCTTCTACTGTTTGGAGCCCAAAATGTGATGAATAGTGAAAGCGCTATTGAAACCATGTTTTTAATTAAGAAAGCGTGGTTGCAAATCACGCTTTTAATATATATATATATATATATATTTTTTTTTTTGAATAAAACGCTATTTCAAATAGCGCTTTCACTGTGCATTTGTTTTGTAAAGAAAACGCTATTCAAATAGCGCTTTCACTGTGCATTATTTTTTCTTCAGAAAACGCTATTCGAAATCACGCTTTCACTGTTGATAAATGAAAGCGTGGATTGAAACCCCGCTTTCATTGTTGATAAATGAAAGCGTGGATTGAAACCACGCTTTCACTGTTCATTTATTTATTTATTTATTTTTTAATATTTTATTTTTTTTCCTGTTCTCATTGTTTCGGTGATAATATAATTCATAATTTTTTTTTGCCTTTACTAAAGCCATTGTCATGTTGAAATATATATTTTTTCTTTTATCTTTATTTTGGTTTAGAAGGTGTAATTCAGAAATTTTACATAATATGAGAAAAACCTCTTCTTTTCATACATTAATTTGTGTTACATCATATGGGAAAAGCCTCTTCTTTATATATTAATTTTACATAATATTTTAAACTAACTACCAAACATTTGGGAATTAAGCCAATTTATATATCATTTAAATTTTTATGAAAAAAAGCCTCTTTTCATATATTAGTTTTACATAATATTTTTCATGTATATAATTTTAAAATGATGTTCATTTAGATATTATTAAACCAATCATGTTCATTTACAAAATTCATACTTTCACTGTTCACTACAGTAAGTATGGATTGAAACCACGCTTTCACTGTTCATTTAAATTATATTTAATTTTTTTTTGTAATTTTTTTTTCTGTTGTCATTGTTTTGGTGATAATGTAATTCATAAATTTTTTTTGACTTTACTGAAGCTGTTCTCATTTTAAATTTTTTTTTTTTTTTTTTTTTTCTCTTTGTTTTGGTTTAGAAAGTGTAATTCAAAATTTTTTTTTTGTCTTTATTAAAGCCGTTTTCATGTAAATTTTTTTTTTATTTTTTGTTTTGTGTTTGTTTTGGATTAGAAGGTGATAATGTAATCAATAATTTTTTTTTCTTTTGTCTTTATTTTGGATTAGAAGGTGTTTTTCAAAAAATTATTTTGGCTTTACTAAAGCCGTTTTTATTTAAATATATATATTTATTCTTTTGTCTTTGTTTTGGGTTATAAGGTGAGAATGTAATTCAGAAAATCAGTTTAGTAAAACCGTTTTGTACCCGTTTTCATTAAAAAAATAATTTTTTTTCTTTCGTTTTTGTTTTATTTAGAATTTTTTTTATATTAAAAGCGTGATTTGCAACCACGCTTTCTTAATTAAAAGCGTGGTTTTCAATAGCGCTTTCACTATTCATCACATTTTGGGCTCCAACCAGTAAAAGCGCGATTTGTAATAGTGCTTTAGCCTATTTTGAGAATTCCGTCCAAATTAGGCCAAGTTTGAGAATTAAGATACAAAATAGGCTTAATTTGAGAAAAGTCCCTGTAAAGCACTCTTTTGACATAAAATTTTTTGGAATTAAAAAATTATTTTAGTCATAAAAAGATAAAATAAATTAAAAAATTAATAAGTTAAAATATCACATTTAAGTCATAATCATTTTATTTTTTCTCCCATAAAAGTTAAAAAAGTCAAAAAGTTAGGCTTTTTAGTCATTAAAATAACAAAACAAATCAAAAAACCAACCAATATCTCAAATGAACCCAAAATTTAAAAATTTATTTGGTTATATGTTTTGAAAATAATTTTAGAGTTTTAGATGATTTAATTTTTTTTACTTTTTATTTTTTATTCTTTTACAATTGAATAGATAGGTGTAAAAGAAAAAATAATTAATTAATGTGTAAGATATAAATGAAAGAAAAAGAGAGGAAAAAAAAAAGTGATTAATTAAGAAAAAAGTCATTTTGAATTTTCCTTGTAAAAGTTTTCAACCAAACAAAATTAATTTTCTCTTGACGGATAAACTGAACAAGGCCAAAGTCTTCGACAATATAAAGGCTGCGTTTGGGAAGTTGGGTTTGGGCTAAATTAGCCACTAAATGACAAAAGTAGCTAATTTAGCCACAAACGGACAAAAGAAAGTTGGGAGCATGGCTGCAACAATTTGACAAGTTAATTTACCATACTACCCCACATGAAAGAGGGGCGGCGTCAGCCCATAGAAAGTATAAAAAAAAAAAAAAAAAAAAAAGCTTTTTACCAGGAAAGACAAAGAAAGTTGAAAAAAAAAATAAAAACATTTTTTTTTTGTTTTTTGTTAAAATATTTTATGAAAATAAATTTAAACTATATTTGATAAAAATATTTTTAAATAATTTTTTTTTGTTATGTATTTGGTTATGATTTGAGTGTAGAGTTGTGAAAATAGTATGGAATTTCGAGTTATGTGTTTGGTTATGAGTTACCTTAATAATTTATTAATTGAGTTTCATTTTATGTGTTTGGTTACGACTTGAGTGTAGAGTTATTTTTAAATTTAAAATATTAACATTTTAAATTATTTAAATTTTTTGAATATTTAATTTATTTAAATTTTGTTGTTAAA